CATTGAGTCAGCAAACTATAAAATATATACGGACCAAGCGAATTTTTCTCTCAACCTCCACACATCAAACAAAATAAATTTTACCGAGAACGATGTTCATTGAGGTACATTTTCACAAAACGCTTTCCATCTAACTTCATCCGGCGCTATCTCTCTAATGTACTTATTAACGACTGAATTTTCTTCCTCCACCTGATCCACGTTTCCCAGCTATAGCATTTTTGCAGCACGAGAGCTTTCACTTTCTCGAGCTCTTGTAATGATATACACCTATGCGTGCACAGGCGAAGCGCATCCGTGTCTCGCCTATCCCTTGATCACGTGTGTATGCATATACCATACGCTGTTATTAAATTGCCGCACGTATATATGTGTATATGGATTGAGTTGCTCTCTCTCTCTCTTGTGCGGACATTCCGGAGTATAATATGTATGCAGCAGCCGAGTGTAAGTATNTTTTTTTTTTTTTTTTTTTTTTTTTTTTTTTTTTTTTTTTTTTTTTTTTTTTTTTTTCTATTATACGTTTGCGAATCGGCTTTTTTTACCAACGCGATCGAAAGCTCAATTTTTTATGTGATATGCTCTCTTGGCGAGGGTAACGATATTTTTACAGTTCTTTTTTTGTGCAAACTTGTCATCCATATTAGGTATAATTATATACATACAAGTTTGAAGCCCTTCAATCCATTGCACACTCGAGCCCTGAGTTGCCGATTTACAGTCTGTGTATTTTTTCTACCACACGCAGTACGACGTGCATATTGCATAATTGAAAGTCAAAGTTGAAGGTCGCGTCACTGAGATATAGGTATTTACATGTACGCGTTTTCGTTGTAAAATTCTTTCCCTCGTAAACTCCGATAAGATGTTGAATGATTGAAAGCCGATCCTCTCGACATTTCCCGCTGAACAGATTTATCACTCGAACTCCGTTTGCGAAACGTTGTTAGGTCAAAAAAAAATTTTTATCGTCCCATCAAAAACCGGTCGCGTGACGTTGTGCTTGTATAATCTGTTGACTTTGACGCCAAAGGACCAAAGATTACGATGAATGAAAATTGATTTATTCTTTCACCGATCATGGTCTTTAAAAAAAATCCATGTACAACATACGCTTTATCAACAAATTTAAAGCTTTTGGGAACCTTCGGTGATAGATAATAAACCCACGCACAAGGTCTCCCGTGCTCGCCACGTATCGTTAAAATGATACGCAATTTAATCTGCTAATTTCAATAACAGCTAGCAAACGGCTCCTCCTATTTTTCCGTTCGGTTGTAATGACCATCCGAGTACAATTGCGCGTGTCTCTGATTAAAAGCCGACGAAGCCCATCGGAGAGGGGATGGTCTGAATTACCATCAATTTGCATCGAGTACATGCATGGCATGAATTTTCTAAAGGTATCCATTAGTTTTTACGATTATGACGATATTGTCAAAAATTAATGTGCCTAACGACAAGGAACGACAAAATACTTGGGACAAATTTAACGCACAAACGCCACAGTGTCACACAGACATTATTTAAGTACTATCCGTTGTTTAATTTAAGTCACTTGGCGCGCATCACCTGATTACGCATTACATGCATCGAAGCGAAAAAAAAGGCTTGGGACATATGACGCGAGAGACTATAGCTGTTGTTTGTCGTTCCTGGATTTTTTTTTCTCCCAAGCACATATGTATTCAGTGCTGATCTCTATATAGCGTATGAGGCGAAGTTACGTAAGTGCGACTACATCGTAATGTACCTATTCAATTTGCATCTAGTGATGATTTGCAGCTGCAGCTTGGCGCGAGATAAAACGCTATATTAAAGAAGTGCACGTGCATTATCTTACACATTGATGCAGGAAGTACCGCATCATCGTGTCGTGAGTGCTAGCTAGCACCTTTCAATGGAGAGAAACTGGTTATCACCGAGGTTTCAAGCATTTGAGCTTTTTTCTTGCAAGTTTGAAAAAAATGGGGCTTGCACGAACCGGCTGCGTGTAGTTTTTGTATGAATGTCGAGAAGCGAATTTTCTTACACATTGTAGTTGCCACTACAAATGATTTAGTTTGATTCTTTGGTTGATTTTGATGGCATATGCCAATAACATTTCATTCCGTTGTAATCGTTAAACGCAGTTTGTTTGTTTGCTTTATACAATTATTCCTATTTTAATACAATTAACATTGTGTGCCTATTCACCTTTTTGATGATGAAATTTGTCTGGTATTTTACAAACGAGATGCGTAAAACTATGTAGAACTTCTTCGCAACTACATTTAAAGTGAAAAGCAAGTGAAAGTACACGTGCGCTGAACATCTGATTCTGCCAGTGAGTCTTCGGACAACTCTACATTCATTCGTTGGATACTCAAAGATGTATCTTTATGCCAAATCCATTGGACTATTTCATCAAAATGGTGCAGGTTGATACACAAAAAGTACGATTTGAGTTGTAAAATTTGTATCTAACTTGTAGTATAAAAGTAAAAAAGCGTGTTAAAAAGAGAGGAGATAGTCGTTTCAAAGGAAAAAGGTAGATCTATTAAGGATTTTTCTCAGATAACTATTAGTTTATGATAAAATCTTTACCATACGTCAATATTCTCGGTTCATCTATGAAACATGTTCAAAACAAACACTGTTACTTCAATACTGGTTTCGATGGGAAATTACAGAAATTGTAGCTTTTAGTTGTAAACCGGCGTAAAAATAATCAATTTTTGTAATGAATATACAATTAACAATGGAATAGATATTTAGAAAGACATTACCCGCCAAACATTTGAATCAATCAAGCATATATAGCTGTGAAAAAAGATATCAAGAAGGGTTCCGGTCTGAAGGTCATTGAACTTTCAATGTTAAGTTGTAGGAGATGCATGTGCATACTTAACCTGTGGAAAAACAGTATGGGTTTTAAAAGCAAGGGAATATATTATTATTACTACATAAATGGAATAAAGTACTAAACATAAGCTAAGTTGATATTGACAATACAACTTTTCAATTCAAGTATTCGTCAAAATAAAGCCAAAGATTACGCATATTTTCATCTCTAGCATGTTATAACCAGACTTTTGAAATGTTATTACACGATGGAAAAAATTAATGTTCTATCTTTCTATTGGCAAATCCTTCTAAGGGACCATAATAATGTGTAGCTTTTCGATACAGCTATTGAGTTTTATTCGATGATTACTTATGATTCGTGTACATAGTTACGTCGGTGTACTCTTCAGGCTCTTCAAAAATAATAAAATTTATTATACCCCATGAAATGTGACAGAAAATTACCATCACAAAAAATCAATTCAAAATTTCTGTACAACATCACATGGCTTGAGGCAATGACAGCACGTCTCTTCTCGCGTGCAGTAGCTTCAACCACATCACAGATACATATACTGCACTTACCTGCAACCTGAAATTTTAATTCAACCCAGAAATTAAAGGACGGCCCATCTGCTTTCCGTCTCCATGAGTAGGTAGGCCAAGGCCGGCTTCCGGAGGTCAAGGACGCGTCGGTACATACACGCATACATCGCATAGCTCTTGTTCTCTCTCGTCTTTTATGTCTCTCGTTCTCCCCTCTTTTGTCGCTCCTATGCATACATGTGCATGGCAGTGATGGAGCTGGGATCGGCAGTGCTGGAGCTGGGATCTATTGCTATATGTACCAAGGGTTTAAAAGAGGCCAGTGTGACGGAGGGACGGGGAGATTGCGCATACACGTGTATATATATATATATATATATATATATCTACGCAGCGTTGAGGGTGCAGCGGGCGATCGATGGAATATACCCGACTACTGCTGATAGTTGAGTGGCTTATAGCCATTCTGTGTCACACCTCTTTTTATATATATGTACCGGCGATTTTATGCCGACATGCTTTTTTTTATGTGGGTGGAACTTTTTTTTTTAAAGAAGCGGATGGATTATTGGGAAAGATTTCTTTTTCTGCCTCTAAAATACTGGGGATTTATTTGATTGAGCGGGAGTTTTTTTTTAAGGGTTAGAGGGTTTGTTCTTTCTTTAGATATTGTTCATTTTTATAGAGTTCGCTTCTATGTAGTTGAAAGGAAGGGTCTTCGATTGAATTACGTGACGTTTGTGGCTTATTATTAACTTAAAATAATAACCAAGAAGTTACAACTATAATTGGAATCTAAAGTGAACACCCTATTAAAATAATTCTCAAAATATTACGTATAATGGAAAACTTTCGATATTTTCTCAAATTTTATTTCTTACAATTTCTAGAGAGATTTTTCGGACTGAAAAAAAAATCCAAAAACTTCGTTAATTATTAATTTAGAGTGTTCATTTGGTTAGAGTTTGATCAAGTTAGTATGGAATATCCCAGTAAAATAGTGCAAGAATATATTCTTATGCTTACGTATTCTCTTGAAAAAATACTTTAACTGTTATATTGAAAAAAAAGAAATTATTATTTGTCGAAGTAACTATAATTATTAGGATACAAAATATTATTGTACTTTTTGATGTGAAATTAAAAATGTTGACATTCTACCGATGATAAATTGATATTTTTTATTATCTGCGAATCGGTTAGAAATATTAACGTTTTAATTTAAAAAATCGAAGAACAACAATGACTCAACTTTATTATAACAAAAACTATGCTATACTTGTTTTTAAATTTTCTTTCAAGTAGGCTTCTAAATCATAATGTTATTCATCTCAAAATTCTCATCCATATCCAAGTATAAGAAAAAATAAATAACGATTGCGCTTCAACGTAAATACGGCGGTACTGTTGATTCTGCTAAAAATTAATCACCAATAAATAATAAATAAAAGGAGGAATCGAAGTAAATGCCAATGAATGATGAATACGTTGTCTCAATTTCACTGAGCTTGTGATTGAGCATCGAACGATTTGTAATCCAATTCATCGATGAATATTGACATGCCAATCAGACGTTTCGCTTGTAGCTTTCACATTCAAAAATAACAATGGCTTCTTTTTCTTTCCAGGGTCCGGGTTACTTGAAGCGCGCCAACAGCGAACGTCTTCATGAAATTTTCAACCAGGTAAAAAAATCGTCTCTAAAAAAAATAAAGTTGGTAAAAAAAAAAGAAATTGATAAGTAGATTAAAAAATGTATCGCAGTACCTTTGTCAATTCAGATGACAATATTTTTCTGTCTTTCTTCGAATCATAAAAAAAAAAAAAAACTCACCTTTTTTAATTGTTACTAACACTATAATGCAAAACATCTGACATGCATATAGGTTTAATTGATGATTTTTCAGCAAAAGGTAGGGGTAGAGAGGATCACCCGCTCGCGCGTGCCTCTTCTACTCCCCTTCTTCCTTTTTTATCCTTCTTGCTCGCTTCGCTTCCGATGCAGAATGCAAGCGTAGAAACTAACAGCGGTACACAGTCGACAACGAGATTATCGGTAGACAAGGTCGAGTTTTCCGCTCGCGCTTCTGCAGTCCATCCGCGCCTCCTACTACCGATGTACTCGTCTTTTTCCTGATGCGTGTGTAGTGATTGCGTCTTTTTTTTTTTTACTTTTTATTTTTTTTATTCCGTGGGGTGATATTTGAAGAGTAATTGTGTTGTGATGATTGTGAGTTGACGAAGGGATAGTGCTTGGGTTCGAGGATATGACAGTGTTTAGTGAGCCAAAATTGTAGGAGTGTGTGTTAAGTGATAGAATCATTACGAAAATGAGTAGCCGTGGAAGGCTCGAGGGCCTATTAGTAAAGTCTGATTATGTGGTAAATTCATTCGCTACTTTTACTACTAATGTTGTTATTATAATTATAATTATTTTTTAAACGGAGAGAGGTACAAAATAAAAATTATCAAGACGTTTTTTGCAGTGACGTGTCAACGAAGTTTTTACCATTTTTGTAATTGTTCCAGCACCATGAATTTTGCGAGACAAACGCTGATTTTTTATACTCTATCATTGTACGATCAAATTATTATACAGGGAAATAAGGTTTATTTCTCAGCTATCTATTTCCGTATATATAGTAGGTATTTCTCAAAAACTTGTTAATTTCGAAATTTCTAAAGTTAGCCAGAGTTTTCCTGACGTAAATCGAGCTTATGAAATGCATATTTAATGAATTGGATATTAAAAATAAATGATATCTGCGCCAAGTATTTGTATTTGACGATTTGGATATAACTCTGACACCCACGTGTCTTAATTTTGCTTGGACATTAGCTTGTATAAAGAGGTTTTTGGAACGCCGATTACGAATTTGACCACGTACGTTGGCGTGAAAATAGAAGAATGTATTTTGATAGGAGCTGGATTATTATTATTTTTTTTTTTTTTGTTCGAGTAATAATTTTATTCCCCGCGACATTCGGTGCGGCCGCGTGAAGCTATCGAAGTGAAACCNTTCTATAAAAAATTGGCCCAAATAAAAATTGCGCGTGCATTTATTCATAAGCATAATTCTTCCTGACCATGTCAATCAATAGTATTTAAGAATAAAAATTCCTTCCCCTCATAAATTTGCCACTTTTTTCGAAACAGCTCGATTTCAACGAAAAGACAAATGATAACAGTAAAGAATCCTCGCAAAAAAAAAAAGTTCCTTTCACACTTGTTGACTTAACCACGTCTACACAATAATATCATAGCGGTAGAGCCTACCACGCAACAACGTACAGCCCTTCGTTGCACAAGTCAAGCCGCTGGTTTCTTTGCGCTACACCCATAGGGTCTATTGTATCGCTTCGCCGCACTCGGGATCTCGCGCGTTCCATATACTGTCACTACTTGTACACTTCCTGTCCGTACAGTCGAATGACTCGTACCATAGTACACGTACCTACACACAAACCCATAGCCAAGGGGGAAAGGGTCGTGGACCCCGTTCTGTGTACACCGCAACGCGTAATGCACACCAGCTCTCTATGCGGATAGACCAACGAGCGGCTTGCTCTCGTTCTTTACGAAACGCCGACCCTATATTGCCATCGCGCGCAATTAATAATCATCGTACTTGCGAGCTGATTCTGTTTTCCTGCCAATTCGATTTGATCTTATTTGTTGTGAGCTTTTTGCATCGACGGAGTAAGTTTCATCAATTTTTCGTGGCCCCCTCGAAAATAGTTTTAATTATCCAGCGATGCAACAGTACTTACCGATCATGCGGAGCGTGCGTGTAGGAATTTCTGCCGCGGGAAATAGGCAATCCCATCGTCATCGGGTAATTCGATATCTGTATAATGTACTTTTATAATCGGGGTATCGAGTTTATTGCGACCGTGAGATGATAAGGACGCCTCTCTGTGTCGTATGATGTTGACGTGCGCTGGTATAGCGCGATGGTGAGAGTTTAATTTGATTTTTATTGTGTGCGGATGTTGAAAACCGCGTTAAAGTTATGCTATAGGCTGATGATTAATTTTTCAACTACGATTTTATTTTACATAAAAAAAGCTCAATTTTTTATCTGGAATGCGTTTCATCGTTTTGGTTATTAAGGGGTTTTATATCCAATTTTTTTTTTTTTTTTTTTTTTTTTTTTTTTTTTTTTTTT